AGATAAAGCTTTTTTAAAAGCTTCTTTTATAAGGTTGGAGGGGGGTAGCCGAGGCATCCAAGATCCAGTGGGTATGGACCTGGGCAGCCCCTGGATCTCTAAAAGTTATCTATCCCATCTTAAGAGAACTGAATGGTTTAACAACAGTAAGTAGCTTTTCCATGTGCAGTAGCAAAATTATTTCAACAGTGAAGGCCGATTCACATACTTACTAATTAACATGGAATATTAAATGGGAATGCAGTTTCTTAGAAATAAAATTGGAAGTATGTCTGTAAGAGCTAGAAACTTGACATGTTGCACAGATACTACTGAGGTCCAACTGAGTTACAGATTAACCTATCATGCTGTTTGGGGATTCTGGGAGTTGTAATCCTGGTACTGAAATAGTAACAATTAGAAACACATAATTCAGGTTTTAAAAAATTTACATTTCTGTCCTTTAAATACTGACCTGAGTATTACAGTGAAAAGAGATAAAAGATCAGCATGAATTTTAAAAGATGCAACTGGGAAGAAGAAACATGCAGCATCAGGAGGGGAGCTAATGGGTTTCTAAACAAGCTGTACAAGCTGAATGAGTATCATGGCACAGACCATGGTGATATGAAAGGATTGGGGGGGGGGGGGAGAGAAGAGAGAAGGCATGGGATGAAAATGAAGATCATGGTTTTTTAACCAGGTACATTTGCTAGCATTGAAATATAAGCCTATATCCAGTTAAGAGAAGACCCAGTGAATCAGTAGGACTCACAGTAGGTGTTGAGTTACTGTTCAGCAAGTGATTCATTGAATCTATTGTAGCTGGGACTAGAATTGCATTTCATCCATAAAGTTAAAAGTCCTATAAAAAAAAACTACTGGAAGAGATAACTGACAATCTGACTGAACTTTAGCCATTGTACTTTGATGATCAGGATTTCCAGGTCCACAGTCTCCGAAAAGCAGCCTGGCAAATGAAAGTTTAAAGTCTACTGCGTGACTCTGCAAAATCACCTCAGCTTATTTAACTTAGAATTCCCTATTTAACTTACTACTTCCAAGAACTGTTGGTATTTTCAGCAGATTTCTACATGTGTCAGAATTCTATTCCACACTAAATTCCATTCAAAAGAAAAGCAGAAAAATATGACAAATTACCAACAGCATCAGCTTACTTATGAGAACAACCATATGCTTCCAGATAAATCAAGTGACATCCATTAAGATTTCTATAAGATTTCTATGCTAAACAGACAACATCAAAATGCTAGATTCTATTAAATATAATGATCTATGGCTTGTTATTTAGTCGTTAAGTTATACAGTATCTGACTTCGTGATCCCCATGGACCAGGGTACGCCAGGCCCTCCTGTCTTCCACTGCCTACCAGAGTTTGGTCAAATTCATGTTGGTAGCTTTGATGACACTGTCCAACCATCTTGTTCTCTGTCATTCCCTTCTCCTCTTGCCTTCACACTTTCCAAACATCAGGGTCTTTTCCAGGGAGTCTTCTCTTTTCATGATATGGCCAAAGTATTGGAGCCTCAGCTTCATGATCTATCCTTCCAGTGAGCACTCAGAGCACGTGGGTGGTCATACTCTGGACCTGGTCCCATGCAAATGAATTGCAGTTTAAGAGCTATCAAATATTGGCGGAATCTTCTATTTGATCACCTGCTACTGATCAGAGTTTGCAAAGCTTTAATTTAGCAGACTGCTTTGCACTATTTTGGCAACCAAATGTTCTTTTATCAAATATATGCTTGTTCAATAACTGCAGCATCATGATGATATGACGGTAGATCATGCATCTGAAGCAAAGAAATCAGCAGGATACCATAAGATTAAGCATTCCCTCTCTTTGGTCTTTCCATCAGGAACGTGAACATTCACTACCATTAACAGGAAGAAGTGGAAATACCCAGAAGGCTAAGCAGGATTTCCTCTTCACCAGGAACTGAAACTAGGATTCAAACTTGGTTTTTCAGTTTCTGCCTAACAGGAATAATCCTGAATAATTTTTAGTTAATATGAATGCAGATGTCAGTAGCTATGGTGAAAACAGGTCAAACTCTGAAGCCCCAAATGTAGGTAACAATCACAGAAAGATCCTTGAAAAAGGCCCTTGTTTCAGAAAGACAACATAGGAGTCCATTTATCAGATTTATCTATGGAACATTTCATGGTATGAAGGCAGGGGGAAAGCCACACAGCTTCCCTTCCTACAATGCATGTATTTCAAAGTTGTCAAAAATCAATAAACTCTGAGCTCTCAACAGTTTCAGTGGCATCGGCTGTCTATCCTCTTTAGGACACAGGCCAATGCTGGATGATTTAGAAGCAGATTACATATTCCAAGGCTATCACTTATCAACCTAACCCCTACTATTCACTCAACAGTTTGTAGTTATCAGATATTTAGAACACTTAGGAAGAACAACTCAGCTAACTCAGTTAAAAGTCACTGGGGGATCCCTCATCTTTGCCCTGAACTTTAACACAACTGGAATCCATCCAGAATAGATTTCTGAGCTCATTCCTGGCACTTCCCTCTTCAGTTTCTGCTAGTCTATGGCAATTATTGTTAGTTAAACATTCTTTTAAATTTATTTGGGCCATTCCTTATGTCTGTTTTTGATAAGATGAGCAGCTCTTCATTAAATAATTTGGTCTTCACTTGATAGCCCAGTTAGAGCTTTCTGAAATCCATTAAAAGATGGTAGATGATGAATCCCACTAACTGTCATTAAGAAAGCAAAGTTGCCTCCCCACTTCTGGTGGACTTGTTTTTGTCAGTATTTGCACATTCTGTCTCAATGACACAGCGGCTGAAATCCAGTTACAAGTTGCAACAACAGTAGAATTTATGGAGTCTACTCTAGTTGTGACTTATTACCAGATTTCAACTAATGACCAATCTCCCTTTCTCAAAAAATAATGTAAGCCTGATGAAATATATCTACCGCTATAAATTCTGTGTACAGTGTTGTTAATGTTGTCTTCTAGTGTTCCCAAATACCTAAGACATTTTTACACCTCTATGTACCCAAATTCACATTTGTTTGCTTTGAATGCTTAACTCAGAAATAACTATGGCCACCAGGTTATGTACTGACTTCCCTTAATGTTGCATCCACATCTCAAATTCACCAATAATTCTGTAAAAGGGATAAGTCTTCTGAACCCTGATTACATACAATATAGTTTAAACATGATCAGAAGGAAATCATTTACATTAAGTAATCTTGACTATCTACATTTTTTTAAAAAAAGAAGGAATAAAATAAGTCTTGTGTCACAACATTTCCATCCTAGATTTCACTTTAGTGGCATGAGAACATTTAAAATATGCTACACCAATTCAACTGGTTTTCAGTATCAGCTGCAGGAAAACAGGTGGAGGCACATATTAGTAGCTTCATTAGAAATGTACTTACTAGGAGTAAATATCAAGGAGTTTAATAGGTCCCACTTCCTTGCATAATTAAGTTTGGAGTTGCAGATCATCTGGTGCCTACCAGCTTCAAATGCCCACAGAAGCAGCACAGTGGGCAAGAGAACAACAAATGACTATGTGCTTAAGAGTGTGAGTATGGTTACATAAGGTAATGTGTTATTTACAAGCTCAAGTATATATTTAATACCACTACAACTCTGACTGATGGCAGAAAGTGAGGAGGAACAGTGATCTCCTGGCCAAGAAAATGATGGCCAACAGTGATGTCCTGGCCAAGAAAATACAACAGAAAACACAAAGTGTGCTTTTTCTCTCATTCTTCCTGAAATGGCTAAATACACACCTGCACTGTTATGGCCAATCACTAATTACCAACAACAACTAGGAAGATCCTTTTGGTTTTGCAGTAACCCATGTTCCTTCTATACCAGCAATAATAACCTGCTGTGAGTGCCCCACCATGGGCAATTCACCAGCATTAAGTCTAGTATTTAATAATTATCAACCAGAAAGAAATGCCAACAAACATTTTAAGTAATTGAGAACATTCTGTTTTCAGTGCAAATGCGGAGCTCGTGTCTCTCTTTTGCCAGGGGTAATATACATGCCTTGAAGTTACCCAAGTTCAAATCCTGGTTTATGTGGAAGCTCAGCAAGTGGCCTTGGACAAATCACTTTTTAGTTTGCCATCTGTAAATGGAAGTGTACCTAAGGTTGTTAAGGACGAAAATGACAGAAACTAGCATATTAAATGCCCTATAACACAATGAGCCATGTGGGCTGAGTGAGGAGGGACAGCACCACAGGTCAGACCCACCTGCCGAGTTTCATTCTTTGAGCGCCCCTAAGCAGCTCTCTGCCCTGACTCACCGGGTGACACTTGGGCACGTCACCTAATCTCCCAAGTTTCCTTTCAAAACGAGGCCTACCGTCTATTTAGGCAAGGTTGCAAAAGCAGGAGCCATATACGCGGAAACCCAGCAAGGTGTTTTTTACACACACACACACACACACACTCACCCCCGCTGCAGCACAAAGCAGGGGTGATGAAGCAAGAGATAAGGGAAACTATTGAGGGTTAGGCAGCAACGAAGA